TCTCTCTGTTTGCTTATTCACACTTCAGAAATTGACCAATGGCTTTCTTACTCTCTAACCAAGGGTATTAATACAGTAGTGGAAAGAAAAACAACTTTCATTTTGCTTTGAGACAAAGAACCACATGTTTCTGTTAGAGTAGGGAAGATAAAGATGGAGTATACTCTGTAACTTCATCTTGTTAATAAAGACTTTCTAACTGCAGCATGGGGATTGCTTGTAAGAAAGGACACAGATTTCTGATTGTGATTACTGTCCAGAACATTTTATATTTACAGGGAGCTCACTGGTTCAGACAGTGAAATGAGTAATTTGGATGTGTATCTTCTGAATTCCAACAACAGCTTGGATGCAGATGCAATTATAGTCTTCTTGCCAGTAAAGGTTAAGAGCAGGTGAGTTGCTTGCTTCAAGTCTGCAAGAATCAGAGGAGAATATGTATTTGTACACCACATAGACATAATTCAGCATTGCACAATTTTATCATATGTAACCACAAACACAGTAACCTTTTCCTTCTTTGTTCATTGTGGACAAAAATGTGCCCAGCAAGGAAAATACTGCTCATAGATAGTGCACACTATAAACTGTACACTCTGTTACTTTAAGAATTAGGAAAGTGTGATGGTATCAAAATTAGCAAATATATGCATAGTACTAGGCACATAGTAAGTGCTCGGTAGGTTTTAGCTATTGTCTCCTGATCCTCTTCATTATCACTCTCATCATCATCATATTCTAACAGAAACTGGATCCAGGTTAAAGACTGGTCCTGTAGCTAATCAGGACACAGGACTCTTGAGAATCATGAGTTAAATTATAGTCAGATAGTATTTGCTTCATACAACTCTTTTTTGCCAAGCTCTCTATTATGTTGTTATGGAACTAGTTCTGTGGGAAGCTCGGCCATCCTGACACAAATACACGTTATTTTAAGGGCTAGTGAAAATGAGCAACCAACCCAATAATCACAGCGTCTTGAGCACTGCGAAGCCACTCAGCATGGGCGCCTATAACACAGCAGCTGCCACTAATGTCTGTAGGAGAGGAATCTTTTTGGCCATACTCAAACTAATGTCCTCCTGCTCTCAATCACTGCTGTCTTGCTCACTCAGCTCTCCTACCTTGTCTAGCCTATTTTCTAGTTTTATCTCTTTCTCCATTCATCAATGCAGGACCACTTACTTTGAAGCTGGATAATCTCCTTTAACTATCAGATTTCCTACTGAGTCTCAGCAGAAGCAAGCTATTCAGTTGCCCAGAAAAACAAACTATTATATAATATGCACTATGATCCACATTTGAAATATGGAAATGAATCAGATAATATCTCTAACTAGGGAGCTCAGAACATTGTGGATCCTGGCTTCAATCTTCCAGCTTCCCCCACATCCCACCTAGACACTAGCTTGTGGGTGACCCTTTACCTGATTGATTTTTACTTTATAGTGGTGTCTGTCACAGCACCTATATGAGTTACTACCACTAGGGGAATTATACTGAACTGCATATTTACTCAACAATTTTAAACAGTTCTATTTAGTGCATGCATTTTTATAGATATCATAAAATAATTCTGGATACTTTTTAGGGAAACCAAACTCAGTGTGGTAGGCTACTTGACCAAAGTAGAAGAACGATGAAGAACTCTGAATCAGAACTGATTCCATGCCCAGCATCCACAGAGGGAGATTTCTTCTTACAGATACGACCTCCAATTCTGCAGAATATATCTGTAAGAATCCATTCTTTCTCTTTTCTTCCGACACTCATTTCTGAGCCTTTTTTGGGTGGTTCTATTATGAAAGCGCTTTGCCATGGTGAACTGCTGTCCACAGTTGGAACAAATGCAGTATCGAAGGCAATTTAAAATGAAGCTCCATGAAGAGAACAGAGCGGTCAAGCCTGTTGTGCAGGTTCGAAAACAGTTCCCTGGAACGAGATGACTGAGGCTTTTTAGATGTGACTGGTATCCTCCATCTCTAGACGCCATCACTGGAGGTGTTTGATTGTTATAGTCCATCTTCCCGTCCAGAAAATCGACTCCATCTGCCTATCCTGGGCATTCCTCCTATACTTGAAAGGGAACTATGAAGCACACTGACCTCATCTCATAAATTCCTGATACAGACTAAGGCAAAAAGCACCATTCAGAGACCAACCTCAAAAGTAGAAAGGGGGTTAATCAGCAGAGTTCCAACGTAAGTTCCATTGGCAAAAAAAAAGGCATGTACAAACAAACTGGCCTCAGTATGAGGCAAGGAGGAGGCCCAGGGAACAGCAGCCAGCCCCAGCAGACGTACAGTGTTAACAAAAGGGCTAAAATCTCCAAATATGGTCTGTCTGGATCTAGTGGTATAAATTCTGTCCCCAATATATAGCAATTCTTAATTTCTTTTAAATGAGTAAAACTTGAAAACTTACCTCAAGCAGAATATGTTGGTTTGAGGACACTGGGCTTAGAACTGACCGTCTTAAGTCTGCATCCTTCAAAGCTCATGGCTTTGGGTAAGTTTTTCTTCAGTTTTTCTCATCAGCTGCATCAACTACATGGGGATGCCACGGGACTTACCTCAGTGAGTGAAAACAAAGCCAAGGCTCATTGGCCAGTTTTTAGTGTAAGATCTGAAAGAGCTGAAGACTGATACATAAAGCTCTACTGTCCCCTGTGTCAAATAGCTATTATTCTCAGAGAGACATTTAATAATACCCTTTATAAAACTTTCTGCCATTCTTATTCCTCATTCAGCTTTATTTTTCTCCCTAGATGCATCACACTTGACATATTAAATATGTTTATTTTCCTAAATTTTTAAAATTTACTTGATTTTATGTGCATGAATGTTTTGCCACCACGTATGTGCATATGCCTAGTGCCATCAGAGTTCAGGAGCAGGCATCTCATACCCTGAAAGTGGAGTGAGGGATGGTTTTGAGCCACCGTTTGGGTGTTGGGTGTCTTCTGCAAAAGCAAAAGTGTTCTCAACCACCAGGCTGACTTACCAGTGTCAACATCTGCTAATTTTTAATTACACTTACCAAGAATGAAAGATTTTTGCTTGCTATTGTCTTCTGTACCTAAAGTAAAAGGTGGAGAGTCACGGCAGGTGTTCATGGTAGGTGATCAACACCATGTGACAAGTGAATAAATAGATTTGTCAAGATCCTCTCCTGGGTCAGTAGATGAACTGAACAAGATTCCAGTTTTACAGTGTTTGATTCCAATTTGAGCACTTTTTTGCTATAATGTAACCTAAAATTTACAAATTTGTAGGTTATTTACATGGAAAGCATATAATTTTAAGTTGGAAAACACTGTAACTAGAAAGAGTACAGTGTACTTAAGAAACCAGTTTGCCGACATGCAGTCTGGTGAACACTGGCTGTGTGACTCAGCTCACGTACCTGCATCTGATGGGGCTTTGTTGACTCACGCGTGAAGTCAGAAATTTAAATGACATGATTTCCAAGATTCCTTTCACTTTTCTGATTCTATTACAGACAATAAGAGAATCAAATTAATTTCAGTGGAGTTTTGTACAATAGCACATATTTTGTTGTTTTCAAGCTCTATAAATTCTGTATTGAGAATTTGGAATGGAGAGCAAACTTACTGTCCTATGGGCTATATTGATTCTTTTCACTTTTAGAAATTGCCCTTTAAAACCTAAGTTATTCCAGATAAGTCACTCTTCATCTCTCTGGGTATTATAAGGGTCCCAGTGGCCCATGACTGGGAGAACTGGCAGCAGGGACCGGAGAGCTAGCCCGCTCTCAGGTCACCAGTCTGCTTGCAGTTCTCTCTGCCTGAGTTCTCTAACTTAATTCCAGACTCCAACGCTAAACAAAGAACACTGTGCATCGCTGTTTACCTAAGTGCCCTGGCTAGTTCGGTCCGCTGACCAGATGCTAAGTAATTGAAGGGTATTAGTTTACACATCTATACTCAGAATATGTATTGGGTGTCCAGTGGGTAAACAATCACAAGCAAATTACTCTTATGCCATGTGTCCATATGGGTATCATTTTGGTGACACTTTCCTCCACTCTCCTTGTCTGGTATTCCATTCTGTTATCGTCTCCTTTGCTTTTGCCTATGGATGGTTCTGAAGAAAGTCTGCTCCTCTCTCATTCCCCACTCACTCTCAGGGTCCCCTTCCTTCCTAGGGGTAGCCGAACCTCTTGTTGATGGTGGTAGCGCCATTCTTGCTTTGGCTTTTTAATTCTGGTTTTTCTAAAGGAAAATATACTTTGTTTCAGATTTTCTTGATGGGAAAAGGGAAGCTCCACTGTTGGCAGTAAAGATGAAATCCTGAACAACATATATTGAAATTTAAATACATTGCCTCTAAGTTCCATCTTTCTATCTCTATGGGATTCTGTTCCATTTTATCACCTTGTCATTGCAAAGACAGTTAATTTCCTCATTTCTTCATTTTTATATCAGCCAAGATTTCTTTCTCCAACAGCAATAGCAAGGAGGAACGTGCACACAGTACAAACAGGAAGTTCTAGTTAATTACATTTGTGCATTAGGTTGGACAGCAGAAAAGGAAATGGAAAAATAGCCCTAGAACTTCTAGGGCTGAGGGTAATTTCTAAAATCCTGAACTATACAAGGAAATAAACTCAAATGACACTGAGTTCTACACAGAGGAAATTCCATTTGGCAAGGGCTTAGTCTTAAGAAAGCTGGGCTGTCCCGTCTCCATTTTCTGCCATTCTCTAATTAGAAGTCTTTAACGACGACCTTGTACTGTAAATGCATCTTAAAAGATTTTGTTAAAAATAAGCTGACAAGGCAGTATGAGGAGAACACATTTCCAAGAAAGCACTTAAAAACCAGAATTTGTATACGAGTGGAGAAAAAGAATGATGTCATATTAGTTTAGCACGCCCTACTTTTCTTAAGTGACAGAGAAAGAGATATCTTAGTAAGAATGCATTAAGTAGAGTTTGTTGACTAGTACAAAATCAGTAACTCAATCTGGTTTGAGCAAAGCTTTAACATATGAATTACAACATACAGAAAAAAGGCCAAAAAAATCACTGGTATTAATGCTCCAACAATTAGATTTTGGTTGCTCAAATGCACTTAAATAAAATGGTGAGAATATAGAGCTATTTTCATTTCAGAACCTGTAGTTTTTTTTCTCTTCACAAATTTTAACAAGGATCAAGGCAGAAAAACCATTCCTTAAGAAAAATATCACTTTATCAATTTATATCCAGTTTTCTACTCTAATTTAGTTTAAAAACACGATGAGTGTTTATACAAAGCAGTATTTGTGTACAGCAAATTTGGGAGCTTACAAAAAGAAACATGACTTTGTGCAAATAGATAACTCTCACCCTGGCACTTTGCCTCTCTATGTGGCTCTCTGTTGCTTGAAAAGCTAGGAATGCCCTCTCCCAAAACGTCTAGGTTCCTTTATAGCTCATTAAATACGTGGATCCAACTAAATCCAACCTGCCTCTGTTCCCAGGCTGCACCAGTTGAAGTATTTTCTCTTTTATACAAAAGTTCACATATGTGTAAAGAAAAATATTCTCTATCTCTGTTAAAAACCTCGATAAAAACTATTTTACTTGATTATTTCGGAAAAGTGTCTCCATACCGTAGCATTCTGTCAGCTAGAACTTACTAATACATTTTTATGCCCTCTTGTGTTACCAAGATAGTCAATTATCGGAATGATATTTCTATGGCATTTAGCATTGAAAGGGACCAGACTGATGATTAATATAAATGAAAAACTCTCCAAAAACTGAAGGGTTTTTACAATTATTATCTTGTTTGTGCATCATTCTTGATTTTTAATCTACAAATAGCTTTTTTGTTGTTATTCTTTCTCAGATTTCATGGATTCTGAAAAATCATAGATTATGTCTAAACTCTTTATTATTTTAATAACAATAACCATCCAAAAACAAGATCATCAATTATCTTCTTAGGTCTATCTTTTATACTAAGCACTAATTCTATGCTGGCTCATCTCACAAATAGTTTTATCTTTATCTTTTTCTAGCCCTCAAAAAAGTGTATACCTTCTATTTTTTGTAGCCCATGTATATTCTCACATCTACAAAGATTATCCAGTGTGATCTATTGCAGGGAAATGATGTAAAAACACTGCATCTGTGACATGAGCCTAAGCCTGCTCTAAGACAGCCCACCAATAGCTAACAATATCCACTTTAATATCTCTATAGACTTAGCGCTGCCTGCTAAGAGAAAACTAGAGCAGGCAAACAAGGGGGGGGGCGCTCCTGATCTCTCTCTCATTCTTTCTTACACACACACACACACACACACACACACACACACACACACACACACACACGGGGG